GTGTGTGTGTGTGTGTGTGTGTGTGTGTGTGTGTGTGTGTGTGTGTGCACACACATACAGAGAGAGTTGGCTTGGTGCATGACTATAAACAGTGCAGTAGTGAAAGAGCAAAAACTATATGAAAATTTACAATAGAACGTAATAAACAACGAATAAAGAGTACGTTAATAAGTCTGTTATCAAAGCGTCAGGTGTATATTCAACAGAAGAGTTGAGCAGGCATGTGTATGTAGAAGTCTCGGGGGTCAGTGGGGGTCCCGGGCTTTGATAAGCAGTCCTGATGGACCGCAGCCTCCTGCCAGAGGGAAGCCACTCACACAACACAAAGTTCTTCTGCATAGAGCTGAAGCGTCTCTAACCTCAGCAGTCTGAAGCCTGTCTCTTCATAGTGTGAGACACACAGAAGTGGAGCAGCAGTGACTGTGATCATCTCCCTCTACTGGTGACCAGTGGGAACTGCAACAACACCACAAAAGTCTCTCTGTTGTTACAAACACACACATAAGCATCCATCTCTTTCTACCCACAATTCCTCATGTTTCTGCAGTTTGTTTACACAGTTCAGCACCTAACAAACAAAACCTCCTCAAACTATTCACATCTCCGTGATGTTTTTGTGTTGATGTCTGCTCAGACTGAGGAAGGTTACGCTTCATGGATCAAGTTACGTTTTCCAAACATGCCGGCTGTGACCGTACATAGATGTTTGTATTATTGACTTAATAGTTGGGATACCGCTGTGTCTAACCTGTTGACAGTGTGTAATTAATGTGTCTGTGTGTGCAGGTGAGCATGGAGCCGTCAGTGTTCCTGGAGGTGGAGAACGAGGTGTCGCTGGTTGCGGGTTCGAAGCTCAGCCAGCTGCGGTGCTCCAGAGACGGACGAGACTGGAACACGCTGCTGCCCAGCTCGGTGGTCACGGCTGCAGGGAGCAGGTACGAGGCTCCGTGAGCTTCCAGAGTTTACCACGGGGGGGTCCCTCAGAAAATGTTGTTAAATGCATCGATCTGTCAAAGTGAAATTATATATTTCCGGTTCATTATGAAACTGTAGCGGAGTGAAATAGACTTTGACCGCCACGGTTTAGGTAATTAATGGGAAGCACTGAGCTTCAATAAATAACTGAATCAACGGCACTCAATCTGTTCTTCTCCGGTTCCCCCCCTCCCCTCCAGCGACGTCATCGCCGTCGCCTGCCAGGACAGGATGTTGTCGGTGTTCTCTTCCTGTGGGCGGCGGCTCCTCCCCGCCATCCAGCTGGCCACGCCTGCCTCGGCTCTGCACTGCTCCGCCCACTTCGTCATGGCGCTGACGGCTGGAGCGACGCTGTCCGTCTGGTTGGTGGACTTTATCTGTTTTAATTAATTTATTGTATTTATTGTCTGTTATTTTCCCCATGCATGTAGACTGATGTGAAACCTATGTCTCTAAGACCTGTGGCACAAACGTAAGTGCATTACAGAGACATTTATATGTTGATTGTAACTTCTTCCTCTTATAGCAGTGGATAGAAAGGCAGATTCAGTCGAGGTTGTTCACGTAGAGCTGTACGAGAGCAGCGATGTTGTTTTATTAATCAGCTGTCTGTCTGTGTGCAGGGACGTTCAGAGACAAAAGGCTCTGGTGAAGAACGAGTCTCTGCTGACCATTTTATCTGGTGAGACATGTGATGATACGGGAAGAGTTTTTAGGAATAAATGTAACTGATTTCTGTCGTGGAAGAAGATGATCTCACGTCTGTGTGACGAGTACAGAGCTGGAGTCAGTTAGTTTAAGAAAGAAAATAGTTCCAGCACCTAACTCCCCTTAAAGGATATTGACCCTGTTAATTACAGCTGTAACCAGGAGACAACCTCTGGTTCTGAAGAGTGAAGTCAGAGCTTCATGTGTTAAAGCTGCATTCTCTCTAG